TACCAAGAGCTTTCTTATGGGTTATGGGGAGCTTGGTGGTCCTTCACACCAAGTGCTAATCTACAGAGTGTGTATGAGATGTGGTAAGGCATGGCCCTGCCATGACTCTGCTTGCACATAGAACCCTTAAGGTGGTAAGATAGTTAAGTTTGGGCCAGTTTTATTGGTGTGAGGAGAACAGTGAGAATGTCGCCTTAGACAGTGGGAAAGGACACCTGTCAGGTTGCTAGTTTGGCAGTCCATCTCTGAAGTGAAGTGAAGTTTAGAAATTTATTTTACCTTGTTTCTTTCTCTTTTTTATTAATTCATAACTGTGTATAATTGTGGGGTACAATGTGATGATTTGATATACAATGTGGAATGCTTAAATCAGACTAACATAACGATCATCTCACTTGTTTGTTATAAGACATTTATACTATACTCTTAGTAGTTTTGAAATGTACCATTGCATTATGCACAATAGGTGAGGTCCCTCCCTCCTCCTGCTCTCTCCCCTCCCCTCCTCCTTTCTGGACTATAGTTGTGTTTTATCATTCATATAGATGCGTAGGTGATGATATGTTGGTTTCATAATAGTGTTGAGTACATTGGATGCTTTTTTCCCCATTCTTGAGATACTTTACTAAAAAGAATGTGTTTCATTTCCATCTAGGTAAATGTAAAAGCTGTTAAGTCTCCATTTTTTATGGCTGCATATATTTCCAGAGTATACGTATATCACAATTTGTTAATTAATCCATTCATGGTTTGATGACTTTTTTTCTTAAATATGCTGTACAGATAATTTTATGAAACACCCAAGTGCTGTGATGTTCAATATTCAGTTCAGATGTGTAACATTAATCTCTTATGTACTTCCAAGGCAAAAATACAAATAGCTAAGTATATACACAAAAGAATTTGAAATAGACACTCAAACATATATATGGACATACACATCTACAGTAGGACTATTCACAACAGCCAAAAGGTGAAAATAATCCAAATGTCCATTAGCGGGTATACGGTTAAACAAATTGTGGTATATGCATACAACAGAATATTATCCAGCTTCAGAAAAGAGGTGCTAATATGAGCTATGGTGTGGGTGAACCTTGAGAACATTATACCAAGTGAAAGAAGCTAAGCACATCTGACATCTGACAATTAAGTTTGTGA